AAAAGGTGCTGGTGGGGGGCAGCAATATTCCCCTAGATAGCCAGAATACAACTTTTCATCTTGCATATAGGAAGTGAAAATTGTTATGAAAAATTTTCGCCAAAAATCATTCTGAACCTAACAAAAAAAATAATTTCCTGTTTTGTTTCGTTTTAAATTATTGCAAACAAATCAAAATATATTTATTTGGGGTTAGGCAAAAAAAATTGTTCTTGTTATAAAATAAGGTAGATAAGTTTTCTAAGTTCTTTGGTGAAAAATTAAAATTTTTTACACAAAACATTAATAAAAAAAAATATATCTTTAAAACGTATAAAGAAAATTTTAAAAAGGCATATTTTTAAATGAGTTTTGTAATTTGACCATTTTGCATATTGGGCACGACATAATATTTATATATTTATTATATATATAATAAAATATATATAAATATATTTAAAAAATATATTATATTTTATTACACACCCCCGTTTCCCCACCAAGGGCAGGGTGGCCGAAAAAAAAAAATTTTCCCCTCATTCACCCATCACTGCCCTGCCAAAGGGGGGCTTTACACTACATTTTTTAAAACTGAACATTAACCCCCCCTCCTTCAAGTGCAGGCACTTATTTCCCCATCTCCGGGACTCAAGCCCGGGCCCTCCCGGGTTTCCCTGAATCCCTTCAAAAGTTTTTTTGCCACATCCAACGCACGTCAAGTATTAAAAAACCATTGTCTCCTTCACTCCTATAAAACACGCTCACCAGCCTGCGGAAGCCCCAAAGCCCCCCACACAAAACCCTCCTTTCCCCCCCTCCCCCCAAACCCCTTCCGGGCCGACCCCTACCCCCCCTTCCCTTCCCCACACAGCTGATACACTCTTGAAGTCATTCTGTTTGCCCCATTCTCTCTACATGCCGAACATATATATATATAATATATATAATATATTATAATATATATATATATATATATGTCGTGCCAAATATAAAATGGTCAATAGAAAAATTCGTTAAAATTAAGTCGTTCATAAATTTCTCTTAACGTTAAAGAATATATTATTTCAGTTTTGTTGATTAAAATTTTGAATTAACAAAGGATTTTTAGGTTAGCTAAATAATAACATGAACAATTTAGGTTTAGCCTAACTAACTAAATATATTTTAAGATTTTTTTACAATATTAAACTAAAACAAAAATATATTTTTTACGTTAGTACAGAATGATTTTAGGAAATATTATTAAATACACAATTTTCTAATTGACTATATGGCAATTTTGGCGATATTTAACAAATATCTATATATAATATCTGTATTCACATATATATATATATATATATATATATATATATATATATATATAATATATATATTTTATATTACGTGCGTTCCCAGGGCAGTGTGTGGAAAGTGAATGTGTTGTCATCTCTGTGTGTGGGTGGTGTTTGTGATGTTTGTATGCTGCAAATTAAACACTTCAATTAGCAAGAACTATTTAAAATTAAGTCTTCTAAAATTTCTCTTATACTTTTTAAAAATTCCCTTTCATAATGTTAATAAAATTAAATTGAAACCAAAAATATTAGAAAACTTACCTAACCTTATTATAAAAAGACACTTTATTTAAGCCAACCCAACATAAACCTCTTTTACCTCATAAACTTCCAACCAACACATGAACTCCTTTTTTCACTTCAGAATGATTCGAAATATTGCATCACTTTTCTCTTGTCCTCTACAGCGAACGTTGTATTTAACAAATGAATCTGCCTATTCTACGAATATATATATATATATATATATATATATATATATATAATATATATATATATATAATTATCAATATGTAAATATGTAATAGAAAATCGTTTAAATATATATATATGAATATATATATATATATATATAAATATTTTGCCATTGTAAAACTGTTAAATTAGCAAAAACTCATTTAAAAATAATCCTTACAAAATTTTCTTTAACTTATAAAGATATATTTTTTTTCATTAATGTTAATCTAAAAATTTAATTTTGCAAAAAATAATCTTAGAATACTTAACCTAACTAGTATAAAATAACATTTTTTTTTAGCCTCAACACTGAATATATTTAGATTTATTTACAATAATTTATTGCTAAACAAACACAGTGAATTTTTTTTTTCATTAGGCCAAAAATGAATTCGGCATTATTGCACACAACATAATTTTACTTGTAGTATATATGCAAGATGAGTTATATATAAGCAATATCGCAATTCTGCCTAATTAGTTCAATATATATATATATATTAGTATGTGTTTATAGTAGTAGTATTTGTATATGTCGTGCGATGGCAGATTTGTGATGTTGGCTTATAGCAAGTACATCTTGCATTAGCAAGTGAAAATTTGTTTAGAATAATTTTGCCAAAATCATTCTGAACCTAAAGAAAAAAATTTTTTCATTATGTTTGTTAGTATTAAATTATTGTAAAACGTAATTAAAATTTATTAGTTGGGTTACTAAAAAAAATCTTGTTATACTAAGCTAAGAAAAGTTTTCTAAGTTTTCTTTTGTCAATTAATTTAATTTACATAACAAATGAAAAAATTATATCTTTAAAGTATAAAGAATCATTTGGAAATGACTTAACTTAAATTTTCTTGCTAATTGACAGTTTTCATTTCCAGCGAATATCGCAATTCTCTTTTCAATAATAAATATTATATATATATATATAATTATATATATATATATATATATATATAATATATATATATATATTGTGCAATATGTAAATGGTATTAAGTACCTCATTTAAAAATTAAGTCTTTTTTCAAATTTCTCTTATAATTTAAGATTTAAATTTTTTCATTATGTTGTTAAAAATTTATAATTTTTGCATAAAAGGAATAAAAATTATAACTTTGAAGAAGCAGAAAATGGGCTTTTGTCTCTAGGAGCTTTATGAGGCACAGGGAGACCTATTCATACCTTAGCAAATGTCGGGATTGACGTCACCACGTCTGAGGTCTTTTGTTCTTAACGGCGTCAGACCTCGGCGTCAGGTCGTAACACGTGGTACATACCCCATTGGGAGGGGTACTTTGACTACGATATAAGCCCAGGGAACAGCTGAGCAAAGGGGTTGTTGGTAACAGGTCCGGGGAGCGAGAGCTCTGGACAACCGCGTGTGTAGTGGACCACGCATTGGGAATCTCGGGTCAGCTGGTCGGTGAATTAAGAGTGAGTACTAGTCCGTGTTACTGATAACATCTACCCTTCTCCCTGGTAATAAGTCTCATAGGTAAATTGTTATATTGTGTAAATTTCCATCAGGATATGTTGTATTCTAGCCCTTTTTTGTTATTAAGTAAACTATAGCCATAGTTCCAATTTTTATTTGTACCTTCATATGCTATTCCCTATTCTGTTAAGCACTGGGATATACAGGGGACGTGCTCACTCGCTGGGATACCTCAGGTAGAGTGGGTAGAGGTCTCACACCTTATTATAACAAGCGCAGCTTATTTTAGCCTAACCCAACTAAATATATTTTAGATTTGTTTACAATATTTAATACTAAACACAGTGAAATATATTTTTTTTCGTTAGGTTCAGAATGATTTTGGCGAAATTATTGCATACACAAATTTTCACTTGTCCTATATGGCAAGATGAACGTTGCTATTTAAGCAAAGATAGCAAGTTCTGCCTATTCGGCACGACATATATATATATATATATATATATATATATATATATATATATATATATATATATATATATATATATATATATATATATATATATATGTCATGCCGAATATGTAAAACTGGTCAATTAGCAAGAACTCATTTAAAATTAAGTCATTTCTGAATTTTTCTCTTATACGTTTAGAGATTTATTTTTTTCATTAATGTTAATGTAAAAAAAATTAATTTTGCACCAAAAGAATCTTAGAAAACTTACCTAACCTTATTATAAGAAGAGCAATTTATTTTAGCCCAACCCAACTAAATATATTTTAGATTTGTTTACAATAACTTAATACTAAACAAACACAGTGAAATATATTTTTTTCGTTAGGTTCAGAATGATTTTGGTGAAATTATTGCATACACAAATTTTCACTTGTCCTATATGGCAAGATGAACGTTGCTATTTAAGCCAAGATCGCAAGTTCTACCTATTCGGCACGACATTTATATATATATATATATATATATATATATATATTATATATATATATATATATATATATATATATATATTATATATATATATGTTAATATGTAAATGTAATTAGCAAGAACTATTAAAATTGTTTTCTGTTTTTCTTATGTTGTTTTGTTTGTTCATTATGTTAATGTAAATTATTAATTTTGTCAGATCTTAGAAAATTACCTACTTATTATAACAAGACTTTATTTTTGTGTGTAAATTATTTTGTTTTGTTTACATAATGTTAATACTCAGTGTGTATATTTTTTGTTGGTTAGATGATTTTGGCGTTATTGTTTCATTGTCTGTTGGGTGAGTTGTTTTGTGGAGTCGTAGTTGTGCTGTTCAGCAGTTTATCAAAGACATTTTATATAATATATATATTATATTTATAAATATATATAATCACTTATATTATATAATATTAACATATATATATATATATATCATATAATATGTGTTGTGTAAGTGATTGTGTGTGCTCGTGTGTGCTGTGTGTGTGTGTAGTGTAGTTGTGGTGTGATTGTGTGTGTGTGTGTGTGTGTGTGTGTGTGTTGTTGTTGGTGTCTTGTAGTAGTGTGTTAGCAGTTGTCAAAGACATTTGTCGATGGACACTTGATCTGTTTTGTGTGTGTGAGAGAAAACAAATCACCCTTAGGATTATTGAAAATATTGTAACATTTATTTTTCCTTTTATTTCCAGTTAAGAGTTTCGTTACAAACGGAAACGGTGACCATACATTTGTCGTACAGTCATTAAAGAGCCAAATATATAAGTAAACTGAACTTAAAGACGTACACCTTTATAAATTAACAGTCTTTAATGAATTAAGGTACAGCAGCCAAGGGTTGAATCACATGAAATATATTATGCAGTATTATATATTCAGGGAAAGCGCTAAACCCGTATATAGTGACCAAATGTTTCAAGGCGTGCGTGGTGGTCCAGTGAACACGGTTGGTGCTTCCTGGAGGTGGTGAGGTTTGCTAAAACCAGCTAAGAAAAACGGTGACATACACCTCGAGTGTACATTATTCAAACATTCTTAAAAGAACAGGAAGACTCAGGACATACACATATGGTATATCCATCTATACTTTACAGTAGTTTTTTCATTTATTCTTAACAAATTTACCTCTTCATGAATTTAACTTATGCAATAACCGCATAAAGCAAATAACACAACAGTAGTAAACTTTGGTGTTAGCATCACGAGAAGTAAAAAATCTGCAAGGACACTACTTGTAAATAATCAGAACTATAGCATTTGCGTTTACCAAATTGTGTATCAGTAAAAATTGTGATAACAACGTGCATATCATAAAAATTTATCAAAATTATATAATTAGATCCCTTAGACGGGAATGAATCTATTTCATTAAAACTTATAGCACACATTCACACCCTTGTAATCACCACTTGAAGGTCTCTCTCTTCGTACCAGTGCAGTAAAACCTTTTAAAGCGCCCTCTCCGCTGTTCCAGCACTTCATGTCTGGATGATCACAGGCAGCTTGTGCCATCTCGAGATGAATGACCAACACGGGTTTAACACTTTACACAAATATAATAATTGTGTCATCCTGTAAACAGCTCCAGACGGCTTCTCTCACCTTCAGACAGTTTGTCACAGCTCTATATAGTCTGTCATCTCTAGTTTCTTTCGTCTCCGGACATATCTCAAGAAAACTGTCACCTTCAGACAATTCCAGATAGTTTCTGTCATCTTCAGACGATTCCTATTCATGACAACTTCAGACAACCGTAGACATTTTCAAGTACTCTCAAACTACCTACCTATCGCTACATACTCAACCTGTATCTGCTCTGAATCATGAACTCCCCATCGTTACCACTACCATCCTCTCCCTCCTCCCTCTTTTTCGTATAGAGTCCAAACCTCGGGTCCTTCTCCCTCTCCTTCCTGATAGCGTAGCCCTCGAGGCGCTTTATGATGCACTTGTGCCCGTTCTCCTTGGCGTGGTCGATGGGTAGGAAGTCGTCGCAGTCACGTATATCGTGTCTGGCGTTGCTGTCCAAGAGGATCCGAACCAGTGATTCGTTGCCGAGACGCGAGGCAAGATGAAGAGGAGTGAGACCCCGGTGATCAGTAGTGTTGATCTTGGCGCCGTTGTTCAACAGGATGTACATGTCAGACATGATATCACTCTTACCTGCACGGATGAAAATGTGGAAATGTACAAGCACAGTTAGGGAGAGGGGAGAAAATTTATATTTGTCAGGGTAAAAAAAAAGGGGGGGGGGGTATTTTGAAGAGGGTTAAAACCCAAAGCCAGATTAAAATCTTCGTAGGCCCTAATGTTCTGTGCCCTGGATGCTAAAACAAATCAAGGTTTTAGGCACACTAGGATTTACAATATTCACGCCTTCATGCATAGTTCATTACGCGTATGTTAATGTTAATGTCCAGGGTTTGTTACCTGGACCTCAGCAATGAGAGTCGCTACTCTCACCGCTGGGCAACGGCGACCAGTGCTTCATCACCCATAAACACAAATAAAAAATGTTAAAATTCATCAATAGAAAAAAGATCTAAATAAATATGTTTATCCTTCGGGATGTACGGGTGTCCCATAGCTCGATCGCTAGCGCACTCACGTCACACGTAGGTCCGGGGATCGATCCCTCGGTAAGGCTGGAAAACATTAGGACGTGTTTCCATAAGACACCTGCTGTTCTTGTTCACAGATCAGTAAAATAGGTACCTGGGTGTTAGTCGACTGGTGTGGGTCGCATCATGGGACATAATTGACCTAATTTACCTGAAATGATCTGCTAACAAGCTGCTTTCTATATAGCAGTATGTCATTGATGTCAGTTAGGCCTGCATACCTTGTACATGTACTTGTAGGAACAAAGATATTATTATTCAAGTTAAAAATTTCGCATCCAGTGGAAAACCAATCACGTGTAAAACATCAAATAATTCGCCTGTAAGCTCACTGGTGTGCGGGCAGAAACAGCATTGATTATAACATTCATATCAATTTACGAGAGAGAGAGGAGAGATTGTGGACTGATTGTGAAATATACAGTTCCTGTACATTGTTGTGTTCGGAATTCCCCAAGTCCCACCCACGTACTTGCAGCGTAGTGCAGAGGAGTCCTGCCCAGTCTGTCAATGGCTGCCACGTTCCCTTCCTTCTTAACGAGTTTCCTGAGCACGGCGTCAGAGCCGCCCCATCTAACGGCGTAGTGCAGGGGTGTGGCTCCAGTCTTGTCTGCCTTCCTGATGCTGCAACCGCTGTTGATAAGGAACAGCACCAACGGCTCGTGCCCGGAGTATATAGCATGGTGCAGCGCTGTGCGACCCTCGCTGTCGGATTCATTGATGTTGAAGTCTGCAAAGATGTCAGCATGTTACGATTAAAGGTTTGAAATTACAGTACTTATTCGGAATTGCTTATTTTAGATTAGCTTTCTTTGTGGTTACCTGTGTAATTGGCGCTTTATGATTACCTATTTGCGATTACTTATTTGTAATTGCCTATTTCTGACTTGTTTGGAGGGTATATCTCACCGTTATCAAGGAGGATCTCCATGGCGGGCTGACTTCCAACGCAAGCACAATAGTGGATGGTGTTCTGGCCGTCGTTAACTTCAGTCACCTGCAACCTGCGAGTGGGAGAATACTTTGCTAGATCCTCATAAATTACTCTCAAGGGGATGGGAAGGTAGCTTCAATTCTTTTGATCACGTGCCCTTTGCCAGCATCAAGGCACCTTCTTGGAAGATATCTCGAAAAATGGAAGATATGTAGCAGAAGGGAGCTTTTTAAAATTTAAGAAATAGAGAAATGGTATGATGATAATGTGGTTGGATAATAAGTCAATGTCCTGGCCAGAACAATTCACAGCAAATGGACAAATTGGAAAATTAAGAGTGAACAACGTATTGGTCCACTTTTCATGTTTTGTGTTAGAAAGGTGTGGTTGTTTACACACACTCACTTGACAAGGGCATCCAGGGCCTTATATTTCCTCTTCAACAAGGCAAACTGGAACAATGTTAACCCGTCTCGATCCCTGACCTTGTCTACTCCAGCCTCAATGAGGCGCTGAACTAACTCTGCAGAATCGACTTGCACTGCATGGTGGATGGCGCGGTGCTGACGGAATGTGTCGGCAGCTTCTAAGTCAGCACCTTCACTCAGTAGGTAATTCACGGCTTCCAGTTGCTCACTTTCGATAGCTGCATGGAGTGGAGTACGACCCTTGCTATCCTGGATGAGATAGAGATGACGGATCAATATGAACTTGAATGTCATAATACTTTAGCTGGAACAATTCACAAAAACAAAATGGAAATGAAATCTGGATGGCATTTTGGTCTTTTGTGAAATTACTATACAGCCACTTAACAATTAAGGTTTTTTTTATTCACAAACAGCAACATACCTTAGCCTCAATGTTGGCTCCCAGACGAAGCAACACACTAAGGCAGTGTAGGCAACCTACACTGGCAGCGGTGTGGATAAGAGGGCCCGCCTCCCCCTCTTGGTTGGAATTCAGATCTCCCCCAGCCCCCAACAGCAGCTCTACAAGCGTCGAGCAAACCTTCTTCTGGTGAAGAAATGTCTCTGTAGTCTACAATTTATGAGAATGGTTAAATACCGTGACCAACGGAGTGTAGGTGGCACTGATGACAAAGTGTGTAGTGGCCCATAATGAATGTGGAATGAAAAATGGTGAAACCTGTTGCGATAGTGGCAGTCATGTAATGACATCTGGTAAAGTGCGAATTTAACTGAAGTTTAGTATCATTGATGTACCTTAGAGATAAGAAGGGCCCAAAATGCTACCTTATGGGACTAACGTTGACTGGGAAATTAGAAGAGGTTATGTAGTTTATAGTTACGTATTTGTGCCTGTTGCTCTTCTGAGACTAACACATTTCTACATTAATAAACAACTACAACAAACATACTTCACTCATATAAAACTAAAATATATAGTATATCGTACCTCCCCGCGTTGTCTGGCAAGTATGGCAGCGTGGATGGGCGTGTTGCCAGACTGATCAGTAACGTTTACATCGGCGCCTGCGCTCACTAATATTTCAGTTGCTTCCTTCAGACCGACGTGAGCAGATAAGTGCAGCATCGTCCGTCCATCCTAGGCAACGTAGAGGTGCATGTGATGTAGTAGACAGTAAACAAAGATGAGTAGAATCTTTATCACTGTTATGAGCACGCGGTCGTTTCATTTCGGTGTCCCGTAGCTCGATCGCTAGCGCACTCGGCTCTCACACTGAGGTCCGGAGTTCGAATCCCCGGGACGGCTGGAAAACATTAGGTGTTTCCATAAGACTCCTGCTGTCCGTGCTCATCCATCAGTATAAAACGGGTACCTGGGTGTTAGTCGACTGGTGTGGGTCGTATCCTGGGACAAAACTGACCTAATTTGCCCGAAATGCTGTGCATAACGAGCGGCTTTCTATACAGTAGTATGTCATTGATGTCAGCTAGGCCTTTATACCTTGTACATGTACTTGTAGAAATAAATATTATTAAGTTTCCTCACAGGATCACTCACCTTGTCAGTCATCCTGAGAGCTTGGCGTCCCTCCAATGGATCGTCTGTGATCGGCTGCAACAGCAACTGAGATGGACAATGATGGACTTACATGTAGCTTACATGGGCCTGGCATTTTATGTTGAAAATTCTACTCTAATGGGCATATCTTCCACTTAAGAAGTTATACAGGCATAAGCACAATTTAGATAGGGATATAGTTTGCTTAGAATTAAAAGTCTGTTTAGCTGCTCGGCGGAGTTAGGCGATAATCTACAGTTTACAGTACGTATGTAATTATATGTGGATTTTCCAATATACGTTTTGTGCAGTTTGTTGAAAAAAGGGGGGGGGGGTATTTAATACAGTATTTACTTTAGGTACTCGGTTTTTCATTATGTAAATTCTAAAATATGAAAGGGATTGTACAGTAGAGATGGTTATACTTTTGACCAAAGGGAAAAAAACATTTCTTCAGTAACCCCAAAAACCTAATCCATAGGCACAAAATGTATATTATCTCCATTGCACAACCCAGTTATTGGAGAATTTATATAATAACCCATATGTTCCGAGCAGATAAAGTAAATATTAACCAGAATTAATTGAACAACGTTATATAGCTAGGGCCTGTTTAGATAGTACACACCTCATTGTTGAATAGTTTAAATAGTAGAGAACCTTAATAGTGCTTATATTAGTGGTTTAGATATCCAAAATAGCTGAGCTGCTCGCATTGTATAGTCTGTCTTGGACAAAATATACCTAAATGGGATCAAACCTGATTAAATATCATTCCACGGGTGTTCAATGATCCATAAGGATTTATTCAAGAGATCAACAGGGAAGGGGGGAGGTGCCAGCAGTGACTGTTTTCTTTCTATTACAGGACGAATAATTTATCAACTAGACTTAAGGTATAAAACAATAATGTACAGGGAAAAGTTCAATTTAGGGAGAATTACATCTCGCTTAAGAATAGATCTTAACTCGAACTAATTTTCATTTCCCTCCATATAATTGATTTTTCATTTTAATTTATGTGGAATTGTGTGTATGATAAAAGGTATGCAGCAATTATATTCAAGTAAAATTATGATAGCTACCTTCCAAGTTTGTAAGTTTTATATAGTGTGTTTCAGAGTAGGAAAAAAAGTGGGGAAGGCACCTTGAGAATATCTAGGGCGTTAGCAAGAGTGGCGAGGTGTAGGGGAGTGCGGCCTCGCTTCTTCTCTGTGGCGTTGGTGTCTGCCCCAGCTGCCAGCAGCGCCTCCACCACCTCCACAGCCCCAGACTCAACAGCACAGTGCAGCGGGGTCCTCATGTCAATGTCCGCGTGGTTTACATGGCAACCTGGGTTACAAAACTGTTTTTAATCGTAATAAATTTCTCCGTTGTATCGTAAATATAAACAAATGATCCTAAAAATGCTGTTCTGTATATAGGCCGTGCAAAAAAAAAAAAAAAAAAAAATTAACGCCCCAAATTAAAAAATGGTTGTTTTTTTAAATCACCCTGGACTGTAACAAATCGCCCCAAACTAATTTTCGAAAAAGTCTAAAAGTTTACTGCATTTATCTTATTATGCCCCCCAATACCCATCTTGCGGTCCAAAAAAATGGGTTTAAATTTTTCATTTCTAATTTTTTGGGTTTGGGGAAGTAAGTTTTTCCCCAGCCAAGTTTTGCTTTATCCCGTTGGGGGAAATATGTCCCATTTTTTTAAAGAAATCCCATTTTGTTTTTAAAAAATGAAAATAGATGGCCATACGGTTTTTAAAAATTTATGTAATCAAAAAAGGGGGAAGCGGCTGAGCGGGGAGGAGACTCGCATCTTGGTTTTGAAGTTTGTAAAAAATTTGGTATAAGGGGGAAAAAATTTTTCGTTGCTCTAGAGGTTAAAAATTTGGGGTTGACACCTCTCAAATAGGGGGCGAAATTGGGGGATGGGGGCTTTCCTGCTTTAATTTGAGATATCAGAAAAACCTGAAAAGACAGCCCAGGAACCTCAGAAAAACCCTCTCTAGATTTGTTGTAATTCTGGCCAGCATTTTTTCCCAAAAGATTTAGTTAGGTTAGGTTTTCTGAGTATAAATCCCCAAACATGAATTTCAGTAAAATTTGGTGAGTGGATTTTAAAGTTTAATTTTCTTTTTTTATGCAATTGTGTATTTATTTATATATTTTTTAATTTTATATATATATTTAAAATATATATATTATATATATATTTATAATATATATTAATTTATAAAAAATTTATTATTTTTAATATACAGTCAAAAAATTTTTATTATTTCCAGCATTCCTGGTGATGTATATTTCATTTTTTTAATTTGGTCCGAGCAACTTGGGGGATATGACAGTGGTGGGTATCAAAGGGGGACTTTTTTTGGGGCCCCTTTTTTGCCCCAAAAATTATACTTGTCAAAACTGATAAATAATAAATTATTTTATGTTCTTTTACTGTTATGTATTTTTAATGATTAAATTCAGTTTAAATGAATTTTTCCCAAATTTAATTTGTCGTTGGCCCTTCTTAAACCCGGAGGTAATTAGTGAAGTCATTTTTTGGTTAATTATTTAAATAATTATATGGAAATGACGAAGGAGGTGGATGTAAGCAGAAGGAGGTGGATTTTAAAAGTTCCAAATTTATTTAATGTGTAGTGGATTTTTAATTTTTTAAACAATTTTTAATTTTGATAAGCCAATTTGGGTAATTTTAATATTAATTTGTAAAATTTATTAATTTGATAAGACAATTCGGGCCCAAAGGATTTTATCAGTGCTTGTGAAAATTGGGTAACCCAAAGGGGTTTTAGAAATTTTTATTAAATTGGTATAATTTTAAATTTTACTTAATGTGTAGGGGAAATTTTAAATTATTACAATTTAATTTTTTTTGATAAGACAATTCGGGCCCAAGATTTATTTCAATGTTTTGTGAAATTGATAAGGAAAGTGTTGCAAAATTATTTTAATGTGAAAAAAATTTAATTTTGCTTTTGCCAAATTCGGGAAAAGGTTTTATATTAATTTGTAAAATTTTAATTTTTTAAATAACCCAAAGGGGGCCCTAAAGGTTTGTATTAATGTGCATTTAAAATTTTACAAAAATTTTTTACATATGAAATGCAAAGGGCTAAGTGTAGCTAAAAATTTTTAAATTGTGTTTTTTAAAAATTTTATATTACAATTTTTTACAAAATTGTTAAGCTCAAGTAGCTAGAATTTATTTAAAGGTAAGTTGTACTATTTACCTTTATAAAGTGCAAAAATTTAGTACATAATCAGTGTTATTAATTTTAAATTTAAATACATTGCATCATGGCTGAAAGTGGGGGAAAATTAAAATGTAGAAACAAAATTTGGAATATAGAGAAAAAAAAAGTTTCCTGAAAGCTAGAAAAAGGAAAATGTAACCAAAGCTTACAAAAAATTGTTTGAAATTAATGAATCAAAAAAACTGCGAATACTGATGATTTAAAATTGTTTTAGATGTTTTTAGGTATTAGAAAATGTTTTAAAAAATTATTTTTACAAAAAATTAAAGGAGATTTGTTGGGAAAACCTGTGTGGGATGAGACTAAAGTAGATCAATATTATAAATTTTTAGGGGGAAAAGATTCTTTTTTGGGAAAAGTCGGGCCCTTTGAATAATTTTAAATGTGAAAAACCGGGGCATTTAAATCAGTCTTTTTCCCAACAAATAATATGTCTTTCCCAAAACCCCCGGGAATTGTGTTTGCCTGTGGGTTTAACCCGGGGAGAAAATTTTGAGGAATTTTGGTAAATTTTTTAAAGCAGCTGTGAAATAGGAGTGATCAACCTTTTGCAATTTAAAATTATTTTACCTAAAAGGGGACGGGTTTAAGAGGAGATGTCCCCTATTTTACAAGCCCCCCCAAAAGGATAAACTCTTAAAAAAAGGAAAGGGGCGGGTTGACTTGTTGAAAGTCACTTATGGTAATATAGAACAAAGTAGGTTGGATCTAGGGAAATTAATTGTTTTTTTAAAAATTCTCCAGACACACTTACAAAGGTTTAAACGTTTAGAGTTAAAGGGAAAGAGCCTCTAAAAAATTTTAAAAGTAATAAATATATTTTAAAGGGAATCAGACTGGTTACGGGGAGTGCCAGGGGTTAAAGTTTAAATTAAGCTTTTAAAAACTTGAATGGCTTTTCGAACAAATATCACAAAGGTTATTTTGGTTTGGGGGAAAATTTAAGACTAGGTCTACAAAAATTAATTGTTCAGTTGCAGAACAGCCAACTAACTCTTTTTTAAAGATCCCAAACAAATAACTCTGAGGTATCTGTAATTTTTTACAAAGAAAAAAAATTTTTCCCAATGTTAATAAAAAAATTCATTTCCAAAAAATAGTTGAAATAGGTGCATTTAAAAGTAGAAAAAGAATCGAAAAAATGATTTCCAAAAGGTTTTAAAGAAGAAAAAATTCCCCCCAAAAGAGTAGCCCTTTTAATTTAAGAAACCAGTCAAAGAAAGGGAGATTGTCTCTTCTGCAAGGGTTTTTCATTTTTCAAGAAATTGCAATGAATATTTTTTCATGGAATGTTAAATTTTGAAATTGGGGGAAAATTTGGGACAAAAGTACGGGTTTGTTTGGGAATCAAAATTTGGTAAAGGTTGTTTTGCCAAATTAAACTTTGTTATAAAATGTCCAAAGGAAGGACACCTTTTAGTCTTTGGGAAAAGGGTCTTTTTTGGATAATTTTGATAAAAATTGAAATGTTGCCCAATCCTAAACACAACATGGAAATTTTAAAAAATTGCTGCAAATGTTAATAATGGGGGGTTTTTGCTAAAGTTGCCTTACCTGTTTTTACAGGTAAAAAATTGTTTGATAAAAGGCAAAATCAAAAAAAATTTTAAATGCATTATTGGACCGGGGATCCCAGCGTATTTTTCAAAAAACGAAAATGCCCTTGATGGTATAAAAGTACAGATGAGAGACCCCACAATTTTAAAAAATTTTTTTTTCTGGTTTTTCTCTCGGAAAAAAGGTTTCAACTGTAGGGACACTTTTTTATGAAAACTGTAAAGGGTTGGGCAATGAGAAAAAACGTTTTTAATCCCAATAATTGTAGATAGACTTCCAGAGAAATATCTACAGTAGGGCTTAGAAAAGCTAAAAAAGACTCTCACATAAGTAAATTTGCACCCTTTGGGGTTTTGTGTTTTTTCTGAGGCCCAATTTAAATTTTGATAGGTTAGTGAAATTTGCCCCCTTTGTAAAGGGTATTGGGAAAGAAAAGTGGGTTTTCCCCCTTTTTAAGACTTGGGAGGAGGACGGGAATGTTTGGTTGGATTCCCGTAATAAAAATTTTTGGGGCTAGAGGAAAATATAAAAATTCATAAAATGTGTGCTTACTCATGAAAAACGTTTCCCAGTATAATTCTTCCATTTGAGGATGGTGTTGAGCCAGGGCATAAATTGTGGGAATTAGAAAAGCTTGGGAAAAAATTAAATGAAGAAAGTCCCGACGATTCTTTTTCTCAGGAGCAGTACCTGAAAGATGTAAAAAATTTTAAACTGGAAAAAATTATTTGGGGAGACTTCCCTCGAGGGCCCGAACCATCCAGAATTGGGCCCCTTTAATTTTCAGAATGGATATGGACAGTTAAAGGCCCCAGCTCCGCGGAAATGAGTGGGACAACCAGAATTGTTAAATGCCTATAATGAATAATTGCTGAGCAGTTAATTTAAAAAATTTATAGAAGAGGTACCTCCTGAGCAAGCCAAAAATTTTTGGTCACTATTTTTCCACATCACGGGGTGAAGAAAAAGATTCTAAGACCAAATCCTCTGAGAATTTTTTGTTTAAAATTTTAGTGCCAAAGGGGTAAAAAAAATGTACCTAGTTTTTAAAGGGCTGTTTTTAAAACAGGTCCATCGTTTTCCCGGAAAAAAATTTGGAGATATCTTATTAAATTTCAGAGTTTAAGAAATATGCCTTTACGGCTGGGCATAAGTAAAGCTTTTTTAAGAGTGGGTTTTAAAAAAGGTGGGCCGGGGATTTTACCCGTTCTTTTCGGGCCCGGAATCCCAGTGACCCACTTTTGCCCTCTGAAACCTTTGCTTTAGAGGTTTATTTGGGTAAATCCAGCCAAATTTCCCACTTCAAGAAAAGATAAATGACACCTTTTTAAAAAGTACGGGAAGCCCTTGAGTTTAAATAATGAGCAAAACCCAAATTTTTTGTGGAAATTTCCTGGGTTTTTGTTTTTCAAAGAAAAGGAACTGTTTAATTTAATTTTTGGGAAAAAGGCTAATAAAAAAAAAGCCCAAAATGCAAATTTGAATCTGAGGGAAAAGGAAAAAGTTTTTCGTCCAAAAAAAAAAGGACAAAATAAAATAAAGATTACCTGGAGATGGGAAATGCCCAAAAATTTTGTAAAGTATTGGGTTTAACTTGGGATAATGAGAAATTTTTAATGTTAAAACCTTTAAAAATTACAGTTGCCCCAAAAAATTAACTAAGAGAGTTTTTTCTTGTGAAGTTTCAAAGTTTTGATTTCCCCTAGGTTTAGTGTCACCCCTTACTAAAGAGGGAAATTTTAAATTAAGGGAAACTGGAAACTTAAAAGTGCTTGGGTTTAAATTCTACCTGAGGAATTTTTTAAAAGGTGGGTTTTAATTAATTGGTTTTTTATGAAAAAATTCCAATGTTGGAGTTCCCACACCCGGTGGGGCCCAAACCAAATGGGGAAAAAAGTACTCCACATTTTTTGGTTTTTGCTTCAGAATTGGGAATTGAGCAGTGGCTTTCTTCACTGTTAAAAGTGTTTAAATTTTCTTGTTATGTTAAGGCTAAAATGCTCCCAAATTTAACCTACCTTTCCCCAAATTGGAAAATTTAAAAGCCATTTATGTGGTGTCCCAAAATTTGCTAATTATATAAGAAAAAGTTGCCCGGAGATAAATATTAGGGGGGAACTGTAATTTGGTCTGATAATGAGGTATCCTTACCCGGGATTTGTAATGGGAAAAAGTAAAAAATTGTGTAGTAAAAACGAGTGCTGAAAATTTTTCGATGGGAAGAGAAGTTTAATTTGTTTGGGGGCAGCAAAATGTTAACATTTAATTCATATTTCCGGAGAAGAATCCAAGGGTGTTTCTTGTCTTTGAGGGTTTTCCTTTGCTAAATTTGTTAAAAGCTTTTTATCATGGTTTAAAAGGGCCGAGCTGGTTGGTAAATAAAACTAATTGGCCCGTACAAAAGGGTTTTATTGCTTTCCCGTTGAAATTACTGTGACCACCGCCCCCAATTTTGTCCTCCCTTTGCCATTTATTAAATAGGTATTCTTCCCTTTTCCCAAATAATCAATGTAATTAAGTTGGTTTTTTAAATTTTTTAAAGAAGATGAATTTTTCATTTTTAAATTTTTTACCTTCCCGAATATTGGATAAAGAGGGTACGGAGGAAAAACTATGGAAAAAGAGTTTTAAAATTTAGGTGGGAAAAATAAAATTGTTGGGAAAGGGTTCTTAATTTGAGAAATTGGGGCTGTATTTAGAGAACAATGTAAATTTGGTGCCCGAGATAGGGGTTTCAAAATGCTGAAAATTTTTGGGGGGTTAGCAAACCCTATTTTTACTGGGCCCCAAAAATCATCATCTAACAAATTTAAATTGGGTTATAAATGCCCAAAAAAAAAAAAAATGCACGGTTTGGGGGGGCAAGATACCTTAAATTGTATTAGGGAAACTTTCTGGGTTCCACCCAAGGGGCGGGGGGAAAATGTAAAAAAAAGGGTTTTATTTTTAAAAATTTTTGTAATATGTCGCGGGTTTGGGTTTCCCGATCCTTTTATGTAACCCCAAAGGGCCTCCCCCATTGTCAAATAAGCAATTTGAGTCGTTTTGCAACGAATTTCCCCCCGGCCCGCAGTGTGGAAAAAAAATGTATATTTTTTTCCAGAAAAACGTAGTTTTTTAAAAGTAAATTTGATGGCCCTACTGCATTTTTAAAATTTTTGTAATCGAAAAAACGGGAAGCTGCCCCCTGCGCAGGGGAGATGCCATCTTGGTTTTGAAGTTTGTTTAAAAAAGTTGGTATAGTGGGAAGAATTTTTCGTTTTAGGGGTTAAAAAATTTTGGGTTTACACCTCTCAAAAAGGGGCGAAAAATTTGGTTTGGGTGTGCTTTCCCCGCCCTAATTTTGGGGATATTTAGGGCGGGGCTGGAGGAAGGGCGCTCCAGGAAAACCCAGATAAGCTCTTTGAAATTTGTGTGTAATTTGGCCCGCATTGTTTTCATGATTTAGTTAAAAGGAGGTTTTCTGGTATGATACACATTAATCTCCAGTCAAATTGGTGAGTGATATTAAGATATATTTTCTTTCTGTTATGTAATTGTGTATATATATAACCATTTATTATTTTTAATATACAGTCCACAAATTTATATATTTACCAGCATTCCTGGTGATGTATATTTCATTTAATTAATAGGCCCAGAGCAACTTGTGGATATGACAGTGGTAGGTATCGTAGGGGGACATTTTTTGCGACCTAGGTGTCCCAAATTCCTACGTGTCTAACTGATAAATAATAATTATCTATGTTCATTTACTGTTATGTATATAATGATACATTCAGTTAAATGCAATTTTCCACACCTGTAGTAGTACTGTGTCCTTAAGACAAGTTGAATTCCTGTCCATTCTTTTTATTCACTGACGGTCGTTCAACACAACTGAGATTCTGAGAGGTATGAGAACAGATGTACTAAGAAAGCTGCTGGAGCTGTGGGAAAGGAGAATTGGGTCACAAATGGTGGCCACTGATGTAGACATGACACAATGACACTGCAGTCCTGTGTGAAACTTTCCTATTGTAAGCCTCGTAGCAGCCCCGTATGACCCTCGTGGGTTTAGCGTTTTTTATTATAATGTAAGACTCGTAGTCCAGTGGTACAGCGCTGGAACTGCTACCAGTTAGGACTATTAAGAACATAAAGAAGGAACGCTGCAGCATGCAGCAGGCCTACTGGCCCATGCGAGGCAGGTCCAAGTCTCCTACCGGCTTAAGCCAATGCCCCAACCTAATTTTGTTCTGTTATATATATATATATATATATATATATATTATTATATATATATATATATATATATATATATATATATATATATATGTCGTGCCGAATATGTAAAACTGGTCAATTAGCAAGAACTCATTTAAAATTAAGTCCTTTCTGAAATTTTCTCTTATACGTTTAAAGATATATTTTTTTTCATTAATGTTAATGCAAAAATTTTTAATTTTGCACCAAAAGAATCTTAGAAAACTTACCTAACCTTATTATAACAAGAACAATTTATTTTAGCCTAACCCAACTAAATATATTTTAGATTTGTTTACAGTAATTTAATACTGAACAAACACAGTGAAATATATTTTTTTCGTTAAGATCAGAATGATTTTGGCCAAATTATTGCATACACAAATTTTCACTTGTCCTATATGGCAAGATGAGCGTTGCTATTTAAGCCAAGATCGCAAGTTCTGCCTATTCGGCACGACATATATATATATATATATATATATATATTATATATATATATATATATATATATATATATATATATATATATATATATTTATATATATATATATATATATATATATATATATATATATATATATATATATATTATATATATATATATATATATATAATTGCGCGTGTGTGTATGTACAGTTATTTTTTAATAAGTATGCGAATATGACTAACCATGTTGTATCAAGAGAGTGACGGCAAGAAGGTTACCCCTGCCAGCAGCTAGGTGAAGAGCAGTTTGGTCACAGTGATCAGGCGTGTCCACATCCAAGTCTTCCTCCCCCAGTAGTTTCTTTAGGGTCTCCACGTCACCTTCAGCAGCTGCAGCATGCAGGCTGGCTTTCTGCAGTTGGTCCTGAAACCCATAAATCACATGTACTGTTCCAAAGTTATGAAAACTGAAGTTTTTTTACATGCTGTTTGTATTTTAGGCTTAAAGCCTGTCATCAGCTGGGGATTTGTAAGGCAATTATATACTCCCCGACACACCTTTTGGTGTGTGTATGTGTAATGTGTGTGTATATATATATTATATATTGCAAAAATCGCGAACAAGCGATACAAGATGCAAAACAACCACTGGGGGAGTTGAATGATAGCTCTAGGCCTTTCGTATTGCAATCAACACATCGTGAGGAGCTTGCAAAGTTGCAGACAAGAGAAGGTTCAAGTAGAGGCACTTCCTCTGATCGTGTTTGCTTGGACCTTCTCTTTTCTGCAACACTGCAAGCTCCTCATGATGTGTTGATTGCAACACGAAAGGCCTGCAGCTATCATTCAACTCTCCCCGTGGCTGTTTTGTATGTATATATATAATATATATATATATATATTATATATATATATATATATATATATATATATATATATATATATATATATACACGTTGAAGATTGAGACACTTATGCAGCATATGGAAATCTTTATTCAGGAAACGTTTCGCCACACAGTGGCTTCATCAGTCCAATACAAAGAGGAAGGCGTAAGGAGAGGAGGAGAATGAGGTAATCAGTCCCTCAACCTGGAGTCGATGTGTTCAGTCCATCAATCTTGTAGAATGTACAGCATAGGGCCGTAGACGTGGCTTATATACTGTAGTGAGGTGACGTGAAGCAGATGGAGGCGGGGTCATAGTGGTACCATCCACTAGTCGAAGTAGGTCTTCGTCCAAAGGTTGAACAAGTGTTGAAGAATTCTTTGTAACAAGATCCCATGATGCTGCAGTGTCCGACAGTTGTGATGAATGGTTTGAAAAACCATTCATCACACACATATATACACGTATATATATATATATATATATATATATATATATATATATATATATATATATATATATATATATATATAATATATATATATATATATATATATATGTAAAACTGGTCAATTAGGAAGAACTCATTTAAATTAAGTCCTTTCTAAAATTTTCTTTTATACTTTTAAAGATATATTTTTTTCATTAATGTTAAATGAAAAAATTTTTAAATTTTCCCCAAAAGAATTTAGAAAAGTTACAAACTTTATTATAACAAGAACAATTTATTTTGCCTAACCCAACTAAATATATTTTAGTTTTGGGTTACAATAATTTAAATACAAAAATAAACACGTGAAATATTTTTTTTTTGTTAGGTTCAAAATGTTTTTGCCAAAAATTATTGATACAAAAAATTTTCATTGTCCTTAGGGCAAGATGGCTTTGCTTTTTAAGCCAAGATCGCAAGTTCTCCCTATTCGGCACGAATATTTTATTATTTATATATTAATATTTTTATTTATAAATTTTTTATATATATATATATAAAATATTTTGTATTTGTCTGCCGAATAGGTAAAAACTCGTAAATTAGCAAAAAACTCTTTTAAAAAATTAAGTTCTTGCTAAATTTTTTTTTTTCGTTTAAAGATTTTTTTTTTTTCATTTATGTTAATGTAAAAATTAAAAATTTTGTACCAAAAAAACCCTTTAAAAATTGCCTAACCTTATTATACCAAGGCCTTTTAAATGTAGCCAATTCAACTAAATATATATTTTTTAAAAAAGTTGAAAATAATTTAATAATAAAAAAAACAAAATTTAAAATTTTTTTTCGTTAGGTTCAAAAAATGTTTTGTGAAATTATTACATTCACAAATTTTCGTTTGCCTTATTCGGAAAGAAGAGCGTTGCTATTTAACCCAAAATTCAAGTTTTACCTACTCGACACGATATATAATATATATATATATAATATATAATATATATATATATTAATTTTTTTTTTTTAAAAAAAAAAAAAAAATTTTTTTTTTTTTGTGTGTGTGTGGTGTGTGTGTTTTTGGTTGTACTGTAGATAAGAAAAACAGTGAAAAGAAAAATATATTTCTCTCCCAATGCTCCATTTTCGAATCAGGATTTTTTCCCAAAACCTGTATTGTAAGACTGTGTAAATAACAAAGGCAAATATGAAATTAAGTGTCCAGAAAATTTATTCCTTATGGGAATTTACGACAAAGAAGTTTTAGGTATTTTTAAAGGTTGAATGCCCTTTTAAAAATTATTTGACACTTTTATTCATATTGGGGACAGAACTTATAATTACAGGTTGATAATTAACACTGTAACAAAGAAATTCCTAAAATAAGACATGAAGGCCTTATTTTTATTAACTCAAGGCAACGAATTAGAAGTCAATGAATCCTTTAGAATAAATTCTTAGGCATACTACAAATGTGCAACATTGAATTTTTTTCTGCGGGCCGCTTCGCAGACCCCTCACACCCTAACCAGTGACCCTATAGTTCCAGATTTTATATACATACGTAGGTGTTTAAACACCTCAAGGAAAATGTCTTGATGCCGGTGAGGGGCTCTTTGTCCTTCCGTGGACATAAGAACATAAGAAAGGAGGAACACTGCAGCAGGCCTGTTGGCCCATACTAGGCAGGTCCTTTACAATTCATCCCAACCCAATTTTCAGTGCTACCCAAGAAATAAGCTCTGAACATTAAAATGGTATAAAATACCGACAGGTTGTTAGGTAAGACACATATGCAACAGTTAGGTATCTTTATTATGAAACGTTTCGCCTACACAGTAGGCTTCTTCAGTCAAGTACAGAAAAGTTGATAGAAGCAGAAGATACTTGAAGACGATGTAATCAGTCCATCACCCTTAAAGTTTTGAGGTGGTCAGTCCCTCAGTCTGGAGAAGAGCATTGTTCCATAGTATGAAACAATATGGAGAAGAAGTGACAGGATGGAGCTTTTTATAGCGCCAAGAGGTGAGACGTAGGCCACTAGGAGAGGTAAGAACTCAGATGTTGAGAGGTCAGGTCCCTCTCAAATCCAGCACTGCAACACAAGGGTATCTTGGTACAGACCTGCAATCAACTTCGACAACTTCCACTAGTGAGAGGGGCTGGATTTGAGAGGGACCTGACCTCTCAACATCTGAGTTCTTACCTCTCCTAGTGGCCTACGTCTCACCTTTGGCGCTATAAAAAGCTCCCTCCTGTCACTTCTTCTCATATTTTTTCATACTATGGAACAATGCTCTTCTCCAGACTGAGGGACTGACCACCTCAAAACTTTAAGGGTGATGGACTGATTACATCGTCTTCAAGTATCTTCTGCTTCTATCAACTTTTCTGTACTTGACTGAAGAAGCCTACTGTGTAGGCGAAACGTTTCATAATTAAAAATACCTAACTGTTGCATATGTGTCTACCTAACAAATAAGGGTCTGTTTTGCAAGTCCCCCTCAAATCCAAAACCCCCCTCACTCACGTAAATTTTTCCAAACCCAAAATTTTTAAAATGCCTAAAACCTTTGCCTCAATAACCCAAACTAGGTAGACGTTTCCCCTCATCAAAATACCTATTTCCAAACCCAATTTTTCCTATGCCTTTTTAAAAACTAAATTGTCTAATTTAAATCCCTTAATGTGGATTTTCCCTTTGGAAAGAGACATCCCCAAGACCTTATTTTTTTCCATTTTTTAATTTCCTATCTTTCCCCTTATACACTTCGATTTGGTCTCCCCCCATTCTTCGTTTTGAAACAATTTTTAATGGTATAAAATACAAAAGGTTGTTAGGTAAGGAAAAATAGCAACAGTTAGGGACTTTATTTTGAAACGTTTCGCCTACCAAATAGGCTTTTCATCAATTTCAGAAAAGTTGATTGAAGGGAGAAGATACTTGAAGACGATGTAATAGTCCCTCACCTTAAAAATTTTTAAAGGTTTTTCAGTCCCCCAGTTTTGTGAAAGGGGGGGGAAAAGGGATTGTTCCCTAATAAGAAACAATATGGAGAGGAAGTGACAGGGGTGGAGCTTTTATGGGGCCAGGAGGGGAGACGTAGGCCCCTAGGAGAGGTAAGAATAGTGTTGAAAAATTTTTGGTCCCTCTAAAAACCCCGCCCCTTCAATAGTGGAAGGTTTTCCCAAATTTATTTTGGTTTTGTACCCAAAATACCCTTGTGTTGCAGTGTTGACAGATTGGGAAAATTATAATTGGTATAATAAAAAAAAGGTTGTTAGGTAAGACACATAAAGAACAGTTAGGTATCTTTATTAAGAAAAGTTTCGGGCCCACACAGTAGGGTTCTTCAGTCAAGTACAGAAAAGTTTGATAGAAGCAGAAGGGTACTTTTAAGGGCGATGTAATCAGTTTCCCTCACCCTTTTAAAATTTTGAGGTGGTCGGGCCTCAGTTGGAGGGAAAAGCATTGTTCCATAGTATTGGGAAAAAATATGGAGAGGAATGACAGGATGGAGCTTTTATAGCGCCCGGGGGGTGGCCCTAGGCCCTGGAGAGGGGAAGAAAATCAGATGTTGAAAGGGGTTTGGGCCCTCTCAAACCCAGCCCCTCTACTGTGGAAGTTGTCGAAGTTGATTGTTTGGTCTGTACCAAAATACCCCTTTTGTTGCGTTTTCTGAAAAGGGTTTTAAATTATAATGGTATAAAATACCCACGGTTTTTAGGTAAGACACATATGCAACAGTTAGGTATCTTTATTTTGGAAAAAGTTTCGCTCCCAAAATAGGGTTCTTCCCGTCAAGTACAGGGAAAAATTGATAGAAGCAGAGATACTTGGGAAAGGGCGAGGAATAGTCCCTCACCTTAAAGTTTTGAGGTGGCAGTCCCCCAGTCTGGAGAAAAGGGATTGTTCCATAGTATGAAACAATATGGGGAGGAAGTGACAGGATGGAGCTTTTTTAGCGCCCGGAGGAGTGGGACGTAGGGGCCCCGGGGGGGAACTTTGGGACCCCTCAAAACCCCTTTATGGGTTTTGGAATTTTTTTAGGGCTTCCAAAAAATTCCCTTTGTTCTTCGAAAAATTTTTTAAAATTAAATGGAAAAAACCCA